CAGTAACAAGAATCTGTGGTTCTCAAAAGAACTGCAAGACCTACGCAGTAAGAAGAACAACTTTTATTAAGGATGACAGGCCTGAATATATCTCAGCCAAATATGAACTGCACTCTGCAGTGAGGAAAGCTAAGAGCAACTACAGTAAAAAACTAGAGGAACAATTTGCTGAAAACAACAACAAGAACAGTTATGGAGAAAAATTCAGGAAATGACCAACTACAAGGAATAAAACTTTGTCACCTTAATGGATGACGACCCCAGTCACCCAGATTTATAGTTTTATGCTCGCTTTGAAAAACCTGATGTGAAGGCATCCTCATTATCTTCATTTTCATCTACCCCTTTGCCTCCTCCTTCCTCCATCCACACCGAAGAAGTAAGAGCAATCTTCAAAAATCAAAATAAAAGGTAAGCCACGGGCCCAAACAATTTGTCAGCTGCAGCCCTCAGCTATTGTGCTGATCAACTCACTCCTGTGTTTAACCAACATTTATAATACTTCATTTCTTCAGCAGAAAGTCCCTCGCAGTTTTAAAATTTCCACTATAATACCTGTTCCTATAATACTGTACCTCTTCAAAAATATCTCACCTCAACGACTACAAACCAGTTGCTCTGACTTCAGTGGCTATGAAAGCCTTTGAGTGTCTAGTGCTTAAGCACCACAAGCACTGTACACCTCCTCTGCTGGATCCTCACCAGTTTACCTACAGGGCCGACATGTCTGTTGAAGATGCTGTTAAAATTGTTCTCCATTGTATACTCCAGCATTTAGAGAAGACAAATTCCTATGCCAACATCCTTTTTTTGGATTTCAGCTCAGCATTCAATACTATTAATCTACATAAATTATTCAGTAACCTGATGGCCTTGAACAACAACCCTGCTATGTGTCGTTGGATTCCAGACTTTTTAACACATCACCAACAGACTCTCAGGGTGAATTATAGGACATCTTGTTCTCTGACTCTCAGCATAGATGCTCCCAAGGCTGTGTCCTATCTCCATGGCCCTTTTCCCTTTTCACAAACAACTTCACATTTTAGGATGACTCTGTCAAGATTTTCAAATATGCAGATGACACAACCATTGTTGGCCTCATCTCGAATAATGATGAGACTTGTTAAGCAGATTGACTGGGGAACAGCCTTGTGTTTGGACAACAACATCATATTCAATGCTTCTAAAATCAGGGAACCATCATTGACATTCGACACATCCAGGACACAAAACTTCCAGTCTTTATTAATGACCATCCTATAGAGACCACAAACTCCTTAAATTTCTGGGTACATACATAAACAGTGATCTTAAATGGAGTACCAACACTGACCACATAGTCAAGAAAGCACAGAGAGGAAGTTTTTTCTTAGGCAACTCATAAAACACAGAGCGAACTAGCAACTTCTCCTTCAATCCTAAACACTGTAGCAGCAAGGCTTATTAATAAGAAAGAATTAAGTGTTCTGAGCTTTCCCAAATGAGGCCTCATCTCTCTGTTCATCTCTGTGGTGAAGCCACAGAGAAGCTATTCATGCAGGCTGATTTAAAGATGTTTTCTTTTGATAAGGGACAGCTCCCAAAGGGGGATGCACTTAGCTAAGCCTGGCTATCATGATCAATGGTCATCCATTGGTGCCTATCTGTCTAGGGAGTGTCAGATGGACA